CTGATATCTTCACAAAGGCCCTTGGCAAATGTCCGTTCAATTATCTGTTGTCCAAGTTGGGTATTTGCAGTCTCCATACTCCAACTTGAGGGGGAGTGTAACAACCAATATATGATATATAGATTGTTTGTATCTTTTTGTTAGGTTTGTTAGCTGTAGCTCAAGTTGTTAGCGGTAGTTTTAATTTGCTTTTAGATGCAGTTTAGATTTTCTAGCTAATCTAGCCTTTGGTTGTTAAGTATTGCAGATTTTCTAGCTAATCTAGCCTTTGGTTGTTAAGTATTGCAGATTTTCTAGCTTTAGGTTTGTTACTTCTGATGTATTTAAGACTCACGTACATGATGAATAGAACACTGAAAAATAGCAACTTGCTATCCAATATTCTTCTGCTTCTATATTCCGCATAAGTTCTTAATACATTCCCATAAATCATTTTTTGTTCGGAGAATTTCCTTCAAGTATTTGTATATGTCAAATCAAATACAAGTAATGAAAATTTAATGATGATTTATAAAAGGAAAAATACATATATAATAAACAAATAATTGAATAAAATGATTTCAATAAGTAATTATGTAACTTCTAAATTAAAATGATTTGAACAGATTTGTTTATTTGTTGGCTACGGGTTGGTGGTAAAGTCAATTACTAATGATAAGATCAAACTATTCAAAATAATAAAATTTGGGGTAAAGTGTGTGTTATTTTAAAAGATGTAAAGTTATGTCATTTTAAGAGAGAGAAAGAGATAGATAAAGGAAGAGAGAGTTGAAAAATAAAATAAAATAAGGATATGAGTCCCACCTCTTTGTGAAATTGAAATGATATAAGTTGTGTCATTTAAAAAGATAAACACTTTTTCTTAAAATTTGTAGAAGATAACTTTTGGATATTCTTATTTTATTTTAAAAACCACTTGACCACTTTAAATTGAAAGTGATTTTTTTAGCTTGCATTATAAAAATCAGGTACGATGTTTCAATCAATAATTTGTATGTCTAACTATTTTTCTCAGTTTTTATGGTACACTTCGAAAGTATCAATATATTATAGTTAATTGTTTTGGGTAAAATGAAGAAAAAAACATAAAAACAAAATTTTAGGCACGCTTGCCTAGCGTTTATATATATGAAAAATGGGTTTAAGACCCGTACATATATAAAAATGAATTGATCCCATTATAAAGAGAAGAGAAAGAAAAAATCAATTGAACTTATATATTTCTATATAAGTGTGATAGAAAAATATTATTTACGACACAAAATATAAATATTTTTTTCCATATAAAAATATTATGTCTACATTTTATTTCATGAGTTTAATTATATGATAAGAGGAAGGATATTTTAACAATCAATTACTGTTACTACCAATCAATTTCATAATTAGATAGATTATGTTGATCCAACGGTTATATTTATTTCTATATTTGTATGATTATGATTCCTCATATTTAATACTTTATATTTATTTTCACATTTGTATGGTTATAATTTTTCATATTTAATGTTTTCACAATAAATATGGGGAATCATAACCATACAAAGGTGAAGATAAATATAACCGTTGGATTAATATAATCAATCTAATGGTGAAATTGATTGTTAATAACACTAATTGATTGTTAAAATATCCTACCCCTATGATAATAAGTTTTAGGGTTCATTTTTTCTGCAGTTACTGCAGATAAGTTATCTGCAGTAAGCTCAATACGACGTCATTTTGGGGCAGAAATCATGGTGTTTTTATAATTTTAATTTATTTCAGGGTTATAATAGTCTTTATATTTATAATTTTTTAAGATTTCAATACCAAAACGACGTCGTTTTGGAAATAAAGGCAGATAACTTATCTGCAGTAACTGTAGAAATATTTTTTCCTAAGTTTTATCATACTAATAATTTTAGAAACTAATGCAAAATAACTTGGTTTGTATAAATAATCTAGCTAGTGCAAATAAATTAAGGGCAAATGATTTGTGTTTTAATGCCAGAAACAAAATAATTGAGAGAAAGCAAAAGAAAAGAGAGAGAAAACAATAAAAGAGAAAGAGGGGTGAGTTATGTCTTAGTGGCTGACAATTTTTTCTACCATTGAAGCAAAAATCATTTACCCATATAAGGGCTATTTTTTCTATAGCAGGCTGCACAGAGCTGTTATATGCAGTTGGGACAACAAAGTGGATCCATGACCTTTTTTAAAAAAAAAAAAAAAAAATCAGGATCCGCAAACGTATCCTAGTTTGCTATATATGCAGTGGCTTACAAAAATGATTTTGCCATATATATATATATATATATATATATATATATATATATGGGTTTGTCGGATATACAGTGACTGCACCTAAGTAGGGGTGTAAATAGGCTAGGCTAGGCTTTGACTTAAATAGGTCGGGCCCGTGAAAAAAAAAATATTGGGTCTGACCTGGCCTGTTAGTCTGTGTATGCCCCAAATTACAAGTATTACCTGACCTATATTTAAAAAATAAAAGCCTTGACTTAGGCCTATTTAAGCTTATTAAACATTCAACAATTAAAAGAATAACTAAAATAATATTACTTTATTATTCAAAATTATTTAAATAATTTTATTTAAAATAAATAATATGATATAGGATGACCTGTGGGCTTATAGGCCCGACCTGTACAAAAAAGTCTGTGGCCTGTTTTCTAAGTAGATTTTTTAAAAGCATAGATATGTTCTATTTTACTATTTGTAATGGGCTAGGCCTGACCTAATATAAGCAAGGTCGTAAGCCCCTATAGGCCGGCTTAGCCCATTTACACCCCTACACCTAAGCATTGGTATAGTCATATAAAACTAAGTCGTTTTATAGTGTGCAAGCATTAAATATAGGAAATCATAACCATACAAAAGTGAAAATAAATATAAAATATAAAATATGGAGAATCATATCCATAAAGAATGGAAATAATATAATATTTCTATTTTCTACAATTAATTTTGATCGCAAACTTTTTTTATCACACCCAAAATGATATCGTTTTTAGCTCACAATATGAAACGTTATATACAGTGACAGTATAAATAAAAATTTCTGTATACAGGGCACTTATATTGGTGTATGAATACTGAATCTTAATCATTAATTTTTGTACATCACACAATAATAATTTATTAAAATTAATAATTAATTACTAAGTATAGTTCAATAAATTACAACTATCGATTGTACGAAAATAAACGATTAAGATTGAATATAAAACTTATTATCCTTACGTTGATGTAAGTTTATATATATATATATATATATATATATATATATATATATATATATATATATATTACATTGAAGGATTATATTAGTCTTTATCATTATAATTTTTTAATTTTTTAATTTAAAACGACGATGTTTTGAGTTGATTAAAGAGAGAAAGACTTTTTCCATGTATTAATTAATGAATGTTAATGAGCGTATGGTTTTGGATTTATTATTGTTATCAGCTTATCTAGTCCCGTTCATAAAAATATACAGCGGACCCTGAAAGTCACGATAATATCGCTCAACATGGTCAAATGGGAAATCGAGATGGTGGCTGTTTAATTCCCCAGTCCATGGTTTTCAGTCCACCGATTAGCCGTGAATGGATATATAATATACAATAACCTATTGTTTTTTTTTTTTCATGGTGAATATAATAACCTTCTGAATTCTTATTCTCTTAATTTATTGACGCCAACATGCATTATTATAATCGTCCTTGTAGGCAATGATCTAGAATCAAGCTTACGTTGATTTGGTCAATGCGTTATTCAACACGTGTATGAAGATTAATAATAAGATTCTCGTGCTAGTTATGATCAATAATAAGAAGAAATTGAACTTCCGATATTACAATTTCCGTGAATGTTAAAATGCACAAAACATTAAGAAGAGGAGAAATTTTTTTTTCCGATTGTTACTTTAATTTACGATAATATCTAAAAATTAAAAATTTAAAAAACTTCAATTTGTCAGAAATCCCGAAGATTATCGCGAACCAAACGCCCCGTATTTTTCAAAGAAAGGGAAAAAAAAGTGCCAACATGGGTACGAGATTTGTCTGACTGTTGTATTCGAGAATGACAAAAGAAAATTTAATTGACTCTGATAAGAATAATTATTATCAATTTAGTTAAACCCATTAACAATAATCATAAACAAAAGTCAGACCAAAAATAAAAAGGAAGGCGCTTGAAAAATGTAGTCAGAACTTGACAGTGATGAGGGATCATGAAACGGTTGTGAATGAGGGAAGGTAGACCAGAACAGGTCCATGGTTCATGGTTCATGGTCCATAATCCAGGTCCGGTTGGGTTGTCTAGTTTAAGCCTTTAAGGCAATGAACAAAATCCTGTCAGTCGTCCCAGCTGTTTCAATTTGAAGAACCAAAATCAAATTCGGCGTCTCTTGTGTTTTGTCATTCATATTTGGCTTGGGTTGAGTCACGGTCTCAGAAGCTCTGACACCCATAATCAATTAATATTTAACTAACAAAAAAATATTTATCCTTTTAAATGACACAACTTATATCCTTTCACTCTCACAAAAAGGTGAGATTCACATCTTTATTTTTTTTTGTCAACTCTCTTTCCTCTTTTATCTATCTCTTTCGCAATTCACTCCTTGATTTCTCTTTCTTATCCCTTGTGCTTCAACTTCTCAAGGCTTAGGACTCAGAAATTCTCTTTCTCTATCTTAAAATGACATAACTTTACATTCTTTAAAATGACACACACTTTAACTCTTTAACTAATTAATAGTTAAAGTGATTAATTTAATTAATTAATTTATTTTCCGTATTGAATTCAATTCAATCAAAGTGATTAAATTAATGAAAAAAAGAAAAGAAATTGCCGTGTGTTTTCGGGCGAAGCAAGTGTTTAGGCCTTTGGGTTGGGGTATTGCTCTCACTGTAGCTGAAAACGCGTAGTGAACCTTTCCTCTCTTCCTAATTCATAGCCCTCCTTTAAATTGACGCTCTCTCTTCAACGTTCTCTTAGTAAATTCAATTTCTCTCTGAGTTAACTCGTTGCCAAGAAAGAAATAAAAAAAAATAAAAATGAACTCGGACATTCAACCTGCTGCGGCGTCGTATTGGTGTTATAGTTGTAATCGCTTCGTTCACCTCTTGGACCGCGACGACGTCGTTTGCCCTCACTGCCGAAGTGGCTTCGTCGAAGAGATCCACGCAGGCCAATCGCCGGCGGTTTCTCTCTTCGCCGATGGTTTTCACGCTTCTTCGAGGAGACAAGGGTTCCGCCGAAGACGCCGCAACGCGGGTAGCCGCTCGCCGTTTAATCCAGTAATTGTTCTCCGCGGTCACGGCGAGGACGGTGGCGTCGGTGATAACGATGGGAGTAGCTTTGAATTGTACTATGACGACGGTGAAGGCACGGGCCTCCGACCGGTGCCGCCTACCATGTCGGAGTTCTTGCTTGGATCAGGCTTCGACCGGTTGCTGGAGCAGTTTTCTCAGATCGAGATTAACGGATTTGGCCTGTCGGAGAATCCGCCGGCGTCGAAGGCGGCGATAGAGTCAATGCCGACGGTTGAGATCGCGGAGGCGGAGGTGGAGACGGAGACGCACTGTGCCGTGTGCAAAGAAGCGTTCGAGTTAGGTTCGAAGGCGCGTGAGATGCCCTGCAAGCACCTTTACCATTCGGATTGCATTCTCCCATGGCTCTCGATGCGGAACTCGTGTCCAGTGTGCCGGCACGAATTGCCGTCGGATCAGAACCCACCGGAAAACAGGATAACCGGTCAGATCGATGAAGAAGCGGTAGGGTTGACCATATGGAGATTACCGGGAGGTGGATTCGCCGTCGGGAGATTCTCCGGCGGTCGGAGAACCGGCGAGAGTCACTTGCCGGTTGTGTACACGGAGATGGACGGTGGTAGCAATTCAAATGGAGGTTCGACAAGAATCTCTCTGGCAGTTGGAAGCAACAGAGTGAGGGAGAGTCGTGGAATTGGAAGAATTTTTCGCAATTTCTTTTCCTTCTTTGGGAGAGTTGGATCCCTGAATAGAAGCCGTAGCTTTTCTACTTCGTTATTCAATAGAAGCTCACGGAGAAGAAGCAGAACTTGGATCTTGGAAGATTGATTATGGAGTTATTTTTGGAAGATTGATTCAGTTAAGATTCTTACTGTAAATAGCATAGAACTGGGTACTACTAGTTCGTTCGAAGGAGCAAATTTACTTTTTCCCTATGCATCAAATCAATGGACGCCAGGTTTTGCATTTTCTTCATAAATGATCTCTGAAGGCTGCTCATCACTGAAGGAGAAATATTGTTGTTGGTGGTGAACGTATACTTGGGAAAAAAGTCATACCTATTCATTTTCTCGCGTTGTTAATTACACTTCATTCGTTTAATGTTCATATTATCTTTTAATTAAGCATTCTTTTAAGCTTATGTGTCTAAAGTTCTCCAAATTGGTGACATTCTTTTTCAAGGGAGGAGGATGCAAATTGTATGAACAGCAACAGGGTTATAATTATTGATCATTTATCTTTCATTTCTATTCCAATCTTCCTTGTGGTTAAAATATTTTAAATTCAGCAGAACAGGCAGAATACCATATCTCTTTATGTCCATAAGCGGGGGGGGGGGGGGCTTTCATTCTATTCTTGGAACTAACTTTTGGTGATTATTGGGATTATGGTCATGTTGGATTGATGATGATGGCACCATACAAACCATGCGTTTCATGAATATATTCCTTCATCCACTTTTTCTACATGTCCTAGCTTAATCATGCACCTGGTTTCCAAAAGATAAAGGTTGTTTTCTCTCTTACCTTACCTTTACTCTGTTGGCTCAGATATGTGTATCGTTGTGCTGTATTCGCTGGCTATGATGTTAACTCCTTGGCAGTGCTGCGGATTCCATAGGGACGTTTCCAATGAGAGAAATTCTTTTATTCCCAAAAATCATGATTTTTAGTAATATATTGGGAAAGTTATTTTTTAAAAATATTATTTAAATATTATATTGACTCAAATTTTCTGATTTTATATTTGGTTGATTGTTAAATATTATTGAAAATACGAACTAATTTTACGAAATTAATCTCCATCTTATCTTTCTGACTTTTCAAACATGATAAAAAATAAATTTTACAAAAAAGCACGATATAGATGAAAAACGATACAAAAGAAAAGGAAGAATTGTTATTATTACATCAATACATAATTAGAGGTGTTTGGTAGATGGTTTCACATGAGATTGATGGGCAAGTCAAGGTGGGAATTGCATGATAAATCATGTTTGGTAGAAGAGTATGAAAAATTTGTCTAGGCAAGTGATTTATGAAATTAGTGGTGTGTGCAAATTGTGCTGAAAAACTTTGTTTCAAAATACCACCTTTGAGGTGGTTTTTGCATTTGGATGGGTAAGTGAACAAGTTGGTGTCTTCTTTGTTATTGAAATGCCCCCAACCATTTCAAAAGTGATGATCGTAGAGGTTTATATATAAGGGTTATTTTGTAATTTTGTCATATTTTCCCATCAAAATTTTATCTCAACCAAACATGGACTCAATATATTTAACTCAATTTTCTCAGTAAAATTTCGTTCAACCAAACAACTTTTTTTTTAACTTTCCTACCTAACTTACTTTCCAACCATTTCCCTATCAATTATATTTCAAAGTATTCAAAAAATTTCTCCTCAATCAAACGCCCTCTAAAGTTTAAATCTTTGAGTAGAATTCTTCACAACATATACAAATTTCTTTCACTTTCAAGTTCAACCAAACTTTGGCATAATCACTAGGCGTTTGGTTAACGGATTTGTGGAGAAAGATAGGGAAATGAAAGCAAGGCATCTAAACTAACTAAGTTTGGTTGGAGTATTTTTCACACTATCCCACCTAAATCACTTGTCTACATAACCAAGTTGCATAGGCATCCCAGTCCATTTAGCCGGCGAAAGTTGTCCGATGGCAGTGTAGTATTGTTAAAAAGCTGCCTAAATTGGTCATTGTGCATTCTAACAAAAGACCAACGTATCCTCACTGTGCATTCTAACATATGGTCGTTGGCCTTCTTTACAAAAGGGTACGATGCCCAGATTGTTCTTTTTTGGAAAGAAAGTTATTTTTGTAATTCGGTATTTTTTTCCCATCTATATTTTACCATCAGCCAGACGTAGATTTTACAAAAGTTACCTAATTTTCCCGGTAAAATATTTTCCAACCAAACAACTATTTTTACATTTTTTTTACTAAACTCATTTTTCAACTATTTTCCTACTAATCACATTTATCTATGATTCATAAAAATTTTTCCATGACCAAACGTCTCCTAGAGTCAGGGTTTTTTATGATGGGTAAGCATTCTTTTGCAGTGGACGGGAATGAAATCTCATGCATGCATCCTTCTTTAATTTCTTAAAGAAAGCATATTCAGAAGTTTTTGGATTAATGCATGGATCTGATTCCTAAATTGGAGATCAAATCAAATGCTTAAAAAAAAATAAAATTAGTACGTGAATAAATGTGATAAATTTTTTTGGTGATAAGTTTATCCTATCTTATTTTTAAAATTTTTTATTCATAATTTTTATACTAAATATAAATAAATAAAATTCTCAATATTAATTTTGTAGGAATCTAAAATTTACTCACTTCCTTGGTAATTTTACATTTGTCGCGGTAAACGCATCTCTACTGTTGATATTGGTAGAACTTTTCAAAAGGGAGTCGTTTAAACATTTTTCACTGATTGTCATCGGAGCATTGAATCTGACAACTGTCTCGCACTTCAAATTGAGTAGTCAATTCTCAACTTTGGCACGCCTGGTTCAGGCGTTCAGCCAACTAAAGTTGAAGCTTTCTCTACCACTATACCTTTGCCCCTTTTTTTGGGCAAACAGTAATTTGCCATCTTTGACCGACAAAGCAAATATTTTTTTTCTTTTCTTTTCCTTAAACTAAAAAATAGGATTGCTTCCCGAAGTTGCTTATATGGTGGTCTCTCTATATAATATATATATTAGGGAAGCGTTTAGAAAGGGGGATACGTCAAACTTTTGAGTCTTTGAACATTATTATTACGCCTGAATTTTAAAATATTGAAGAGCTGTCAGCCTGTCATCCTAAACAAGTTGACTTCTGAAACCAATTTATATGATGAGAATTAGAAGATCGCATATGGAACGTACCAAAATAAATTCCAATGTATTGGTAAAATATTAATCGTAGCCTGTTAAAATTGAAATTTTACGTAAAATTGGAATGAGATAAAAAAATTATAAAATGCAAAATTATAATTTAAAAAAATAATAAAAATGTAAAAGTATTTAAAATATTGATAAAATTATTTTAACGAAATAGAATGACAAATAGAGATTTTGAGTATTATGATTGGAGGCCTTGTTCTCTCCCCCATTTGACAAAGTCAACGCCAATGGGGTGGCAACAAGAATCCTGGAATGGCTGGTTGTGGCGGAATCTTACGTGGTAATAAACTAATAAATAACTACTCATTTTAGTCCCTGAAAATATTTACGAAGTCCTTTTCAGTCTCTAGAAATAAAAAAGAGACAAATTGGTCCCTGAAATAACAAAAAAGAGGCCACTTTCATCCTTCTGTTAACTCCCACCTAACGGTGCACAGTTGGCATGATAGTTTGCTGACGCGGCTTGGATGTGGGACACCGAGGAAGACGAGACGACGACGTTTTGGTCTCTGTCAAAACCACGAGGGCCATTTTGGTCCTGTCAAAATGCACGAGGACGTTTTTAGTCCCTGACAAAAAGCACGGGCCCTTATTGGTCGCTAACAAGAGAAAAATAGGCACATGACTTCATTGCTTTTCTATGCAGTCCAATTTTGCAAAACAGAAGTGCATTACATCAGAAACAGGAGTGCAATCCAATTTTGCAAAACAGGAACATGACATTAAATTGGATTTGTATGCAGTCCAATTTGTTAAACCAGAAGACATGGATGTACAAGAACTACAACTACGTATATTAGTTAAAAAACATCAAAAATGGTAAACTTAAACATTCATCATAATAGCTGGAACATGATTTGAGTATCATTATATTTGAAGACATGGATGTACAGTAGTGCATTACAAAATAAAGCCAACTGCCAGGAATTAAAAGAAAGACCTCTAATACAATATGGTCAGAATTTACAAAAAAAACATTGACATAATAAGGCCTCCAAATACATAATGGCCATAATTTTCAAAAAAAGTCAGTCACATAATAATAAACCTTTCTCAGTTGGCTCATGCACTACTCTCAGGTCATATACAACAGCAGGTCATTTTCTTGAGGCAGGCCTTGGTGGCCTAAAACCAGGTGTGCTCATGAAGGCCAATAATCTGCTTCGTGTGCCACTGGTTGCTGCATTCATTGTTTCATTACTCAACAGCTCATTTGGCTGTTGTGGATTTGATGGAGGTGGGCTGCTTCCTCTCAAGTTGTCTTCATGTGGCTGAGAACTACCAACTGCTGCAGTCCAGTCAACTGCCATGCATTGCAATTATCAACAATCATTTACCTGGCTTCTTCTATGTTTTTTCTCTGTATTTAAATATCAACAATCATGTGATTATCTTTTATAGAAAAATAAATAGTATAATTGTAATGCTACACTACTGAAGATATTGTTCGTAAATCGCATAACGCTATGTCTTATACAGACTAAGAAAATTAAAACAGTTCATAGTATTCTAGGGATCGTAAAAGCTGTTTGCAAGAGCCAAGAATCCCTTTTAACAAAGTGGGAAGCTTAATTAACATTGAAAAAGAAATGAATAATCATTAATAAGGTCGAAACTTCAGTTAGAAACACAAACTTCATTGAAATAAAATGCCAAGAATGAGTATTTTACTTTGTGATGAAATTTAGTTTAATTACTTTGTGATGAACAAATGGATTGCACTCCTGTTTCTGATGTAATGCACTTATGTTTTGCAAAATTGGACTGTATAGAAAAGCAATAAAGTCACGTGCCTATTTTTCTCTGGTTATGGACCAATAAGGGCCCCGTGCTTTTTTTCAAGGACTAAAAACGTCCTCGTGCATTTTGACAAGGACCAAAATGGCCTTCGTGGTTTTGACAGGGACCAAAACGTCGTCATCTCGTCTTCCACGGTGTCCCACATCTAAGCCGCGTCAGCAAACTAACGTGCCAACTGTGCATCGTTAGTTGGGTCGTTAGGTGAGAGTTAACGGAAGGATGGACATGGCCTTTTTTTTGTTATTTTAGGGACCAATTTGTCCCCTTTTTATTGCTAGGAACTGAAAACGGCTTCGTGGATATTGCTAGGGACTAAAAAAGATATTTACTCTAAACTAATAATGGATGGGGAATAAAATCTTGTACTGTGAACTTTTTACATAACAAAATTACGGGACAAGGTAGATAAACACGAGAATCTACGGGTGTATTTGATTAGGATTTAAAAAAAAAATTGAGATAATTTTTTTTTTATAGATTTTAAAAGATTACTTAAAATTTGAGGAATTTAAAAAAAAAATATTTTTTTTACAATGAAGATTTCATAAAATTGAATTTTAAAGTATTTTAATAGAATATTTAAGATTTAAAAGGACAATATGAATTTATAAGATTTTAAAAAATCATATGAATTTTCAAAAAAATATTCAAAATTACAAGAGTCAATAAAAAATAACAAAGAAATGCAATGATATTAATTAAAAAAATAAAACCTAATATAATTTTAGAGGAAGGTTATACTTACAACTTTTTTTTTACAACCTCTTACAACCATATCTTAACACCGTTGATTTCCGCCAATCAAGGGTTATCATTTATTATGAATTAATAATTAATTAATAAGTTTAATTTACGAAAAATAATAACCGTTAATTGACGGAAATCAACGGTGTTAAGATATGATTGTAAGGGGTTGTAAAAAAAAGGTTGTAAGTATGACCTTCCTCATAATTTTATCAATTAGTAAAACATAATATAAAATTTAACAAGGGGAATGATATTGTAACAACCAAGTTGTGTTATTACCAAGTTACTACTAATCAATCTCACCGTTAGATCGATTATGTCGATCCAACGGTTATATTTATTTTCACCTTTGTATGGTTATGATTCCACATATTTAAAGTGAAAGCATTAAATTTGAGAAATCATAACCATACAAAGGTGGAAATAAATATAAAGTATTAAATTTGAGAAATCATAACCATACAAAGATGAAAATAAATATAACCGTTGGATCAACATAATCGATCTAACGGTGAGATTGATTGGTAATAACTTGATAGTAACACAACTTGGTTGTTACAATATCATTCCCCTTTTAACAAATATTCAAAATTATTAAGCAAAACCTCTCCAGATATCCAAAGCTATACTAGTCCTCTAAGCATTAGCATCTTCTCGTTCCTGCTTTTAGGTTTGACCAATAGATTAAAAATTATTTTCTTCATTTAGTATCAGAGCTATGCATATATGATTATAAGATCCAAATTTTTTTATTTCTTAAAATAATTTTAAATTTGCATATAGAACATAAAGTTCATAATAAAATTTCGTTCGAAATTTTTTGCAATTGATCTTAGAAATCTTGGGGTTTTTGTTCTTGGTGATGAGAGTTTTCTAACCATATGTCATTTGCATCTTTTCATTGAGTATTCTAAAAAACTTTTGAATTTGAATTTATGGATTTTATTACATGAAAGTTTAAAAAATTTCTCAAATTATTTTTAGAGTAAACACCCTTTTTGGTCCCTAACAAAAAACACGGTTCTCACTTTAGTCCCTTACAAAAATAAATTAGTCAGTTAGTCCTTAACAAATTCAAAGTGGACCCATTTTAGTCCTTTTGAGGTACTAATATGGGTCTTTTTTGAATTTATGAGGGACCACTATTTCAACTAAATGGGTCCACTTTGAATTTGTTAGGGACTAACTGACTAATTTATTTTTGTGAGGTACTAAAGTGGGGACCGTGTTTTTTGTTAGGGACCAAAAATGGTATTTACTCTTATTTTTAATCGATACATTGAAACTTTAAATTGCTTTGGAGCTTTTGAAAACAAGTTTTTAGTTATCTATTGACAAAAAAATTATTTGAAATCGTTACTTATAGCGAAAGAATTTCATTCATGAATGTATTGAACGAAATATAGGGTTCATATTATGAAAATTTTAATCTTTCTTTAAATTGATATTGTTTCATTGATGTAAAATAAAAAATGGTTTGAGGATTTTAGTTCCCATGTTGTTTTTCCACTATTTTATGTTGTTTTTAATACAAAAAATATGTATTTTTGTGCCAAGAAAAATTGCGATCCATAACTTGGAAAATTATTTTTTAAACTTTCAAAAACTGTAAAAAAATTTGCTATTTTTGAGATGGATTATATTAGAATCTCATTGATTTGTTGTTTCTGGATTGTTTTGTGATATAAATCGCTAAAAATATAAGTTGTTTTTTAGCTTTAACGATGCTCCTATGGCAGAATCTGATTTCGAGCTGGTCAACTCGTTAAACGATGAAGAAGACATTACAATAGAAAAATCTCAAGAAATCCTAAGGTTTAGGATGAGATTGTGAGAGTGATATCATATTTATATTTCTCACTAAAAAGTCACATAAAATTCACACTAATAGAAAATTTATTAAAATCGTCAGATTTTTGAATATCACAAGCTTGTTTTTTCGTTGTTTAAAATCTTGATTGAATACTAATGAATTTAGATGGACTCTAAAACAATCTTTTAAAATCTTAATCAAATATCACGTGACTTTTTTTCAATCTTTAAAAATCTTAATTAAATATAAATAATTTTTTTTTTCAAACATAATAAATTCAATCCTGTACACTACCTTGACAAGCTGTTTGTTAAGGGTAGGCTAAATCACAAAAAAGTAGTTGTAACTTCTAATATCCTCGTAGTTCTAACTTTTTTTGTCATATGTGGACAGACAACTTCAAATGTGTAGTTCAGGTGTTCAACCATACCTATTAATTATTATCAAGGAAATAGCAGGCCTACATTGGACAGGTTGGTGGATGTTTGATTTGACACCGAAATAAATTTAAAATGATTTTTTAATTATATCAATTTTATGAACTCGAACCTGGTTCAGTTATATCTTCATTATTGACTTAGTTAATATGAAATTCGGATAAGATATATAAATTTAAACATAATTCATGGTTAAGTTATAAAGTTCTAAAAGAAAAAATAAAATAAATAAAAATAACATATTTTTTACAATAAGTTTAAGTTATGTTATTTTAGAAGAGAGATAAACACAAAAAATAAAAATCATAGGAGAGAAAGTGAGTGATTTTTTTTTAATTTAAATTTTAAATAAAAAAATTATTTTGTGTCTATCTCTCTCTTAAAATGACATAATTTTATGTCATTTAAACACTTTTTCCTTTTACAATATATACTTTGGCATTAAGTATATGAATATAAATATAAATATAAATATAAATATATTAACATGTAATATACAAGATTTTAATTCAAATTAAATTTTTTATTATTTATCCGTAGTTACTAAAAATAATTGTTTTTAAACATTAGGAGGCATTATGTTCAAATAAGCCAAAAAAAAAAAACCCCTCAAACACAACTAAAATATAGTAAGTTTAAATTTTTAAACCCATATCCGTTTAGATTAGGCATGGGTCAGGATAAATTATGGGATGGGAGGGGCTTTGAGAACCCTTAGGTGTACCTACTAGTTCGTAAGTTAGGCTCTTACCAATGACTTCGGCCTTCGTAATTTTGTCACCCATAACCCATTAGTAAGTTGAATAGACCCCCACCAAAAGTGTCTAAAGAGTTGGAACTCAGCCCAAAAAGAAAAAAAATAATCTCAATAAATCAATTTTTTATGGGATACTCGCATAGTCGCATTCCTTTCTTCATCCCTCCCGACTCAAAAAAAAAAGAAAAAAAAAAAAGAGAAAAAAAAAAAGAGAGAGATTAGAGTGAAAATGATGATGTAGTTGCTAAGTTGCATCGTTCAATATACGGAGATCATGCTCCATATAACTGCAAGCGTACTATGCTCTCGACAATTAATAGAGTGAACATTTTGTCTCGACAATGCATCAATATGAAACTCTCTAATTGTCATTCATCTTATTTATTTTTTTAAGAAAAAAGCAAGTAAACCATGGTTAGATGCAAGATTATTATCGTCATTTCGTTAGATTGAGAAATCAAATAAGAAAAGTATAGCTACATGTGTAGATTTAGCATAGATGAATAGGTGACGAGTGTAACTTGTAAGGGAATAAAGGAAGTTGCAATTTTTTGGCATGGGCCGCAAAACGAAAGAAAGGACAATTTCCACCGAGAAAGAGCAATTTGTGTTTGTGTCATTTTGGGAGCAAAATGAGCGTTAGTTGTGGAACTTTTACATCATTGCAACTTTCTGCATGCCAAGGCTTCGTGTCAATTGTTACATGGAGTCCAAGTCCATGTGTCAGCTCCATAAACTACACCCCCTTCCCCTTTCCTTAATTAAATACTACCACCCAAATCCAAATAAATTATTATCATTATTTTTTAAATGAAAATAAAAAATATTATAAAATTGCATCTACAAGCAAAGCTCTGAGCAGAGCAAAACGGTTGGGATGAGTGAGTTGAGTTGAGTGATGAGTGCATCGTCACCAGCAACCCAGAAAGGAACGGAACATCCTTAAAACACTTACGACATCGAATTCACTTCCCAACCACGCTCCCTCTTCGGTCTCCAATTTTTGTAAGTGTCTTTTTTTTATCATTATTTTCTGCAATGTGTTTCGATGCGAAGCCACCTTGTACTGTTTCACTATCATATATAAAACGCCATGAATGCTTTCTCTATTCATCTCGATAATTCCACCCTCTAATCTCAATTATTGTAATACCTAATGTCAAATCACATTTCTGAGTCTGTAGCACTCTCCAGAGCAGATGAATAAAGCTGTTTTGATTGGCGACGCGAGCTATGGCTTCAGTTCAGAAACAAATAATTTGTTAATTTAATATATATATTATATTATATTATATAATTTTGGTCTTTGAATATCACGTGCATTGCCGTGAAAGTAACCCCTCTGAATCTGTTGCGACTAGAAGACGCAATGTATATATATAAGAAAAAGGAAATTGTTATCCCAATACCCGTTTAGGTACTAAGTGTTTGTGTTTTGCAAGCAATTCACCTTGACTCACCTCGTGATATTTTTTTTTGTAGAAAATAGAAAATCTTTTGCGGTAAATTATTCATAAAAGTTTTGCAGCTTCAGAAATACTTAATTTGCTTTGTCTGATGATTCTGATCCATGAATGCAGGAGTATTTACTTTTGTTTGAAACTTGTGAATTGCATTCTGTAAAATGTCAATCACGGAAAAGTATATAAGTTCCCTGATATTTGTTACTTGCTGTGATGAATCAAAGGCACAGTCCTCGCAGGTAGCCAGGTAGTGTCACTGTGAATTGTTGCAAGATTTCCTTTGCAAGTATGAGTTTCGTTTTCCGAGGGAGTAGGGGAGATATTGAAAGGGGATTTTCAGAATATGCTCCTGAAAGAAACCCAATGGTATGCTTGCTTCAATGCTGTTTTCTTGCATGAATCTTTGTGCTAGCTTCTTTTCTAGGTAGCACAGATTATACATATGGATCATTCAACTGTTGTTCTTATGCTGCTGTTTTTCCCTTCTTCCCATCAGCGTATTCATCCTGCTAGGCCAGTTAATAGCAATTCTCTGGCTTTTCTTATTACAGGTAATTTAATAACTACTGTACCTAATGCTTTGCTGACTCATAATAGTAGTTTTCTAATCTGTATCTGACTTGTTTATTTGGCAGTTCTTGTGCTGTTCATGTTATTGAGCTCGCCTCAGATGTCACATTATTTTTTGGTAAGTGATAATTTAGCTGATGTGAGTATGCTACAAGTTTGAATAGTACTTCTCTTTTTCATACCAATTAATATGGTAAACATGGGTACATATCCTTGTAGCTCTGGCTTGTGATGGCTGTCTTTGCCATGGCGACAAGCCTGAGGATGTATGTAGCTTGTCAACATCTTCAAGCTCAGGCCAGGGCTCATGCTGCAGCAGCCACTGGGTTGCTTGGCCATACTGAATTACGACTCCATGTGCCACCATCCATAGCAATAGCAACTAGAGGACGATTGCATGGACTTAGACTTCAGCTTGCACTTCTTGATCGTGAATTTGATGAGCTAGGTACTATTCTTCTAAAATGCACTTTTGGACATTTGTCATTTGGTATTTTTAAAAAATTGGAAGTGTCTCCAAAGAATGTGAAAAGCAGATGAAGGCTTGCGCATCTCTCTTTTTGTACAATGTGCTATCATTATTCATAATCTTTTTCCTTTCATTTTGTGGTAGACTATGACACTTTGAGAGCTCTGGACTCTGATACTGCTTCTAGTACTCCTTCAATGTCTGAGGAAGAGATAAATGCCTTGCCTGTTCACACGTATAAAGTAGCAGTTCCAACAAAGTGAGTTTCGCTGGTTTCTAAATATATTCTTGTGAATGAATGAGAAAAAATGCTTGCTTTACATGGGTAAGCTTTTTGGTTTCTTTCTTTCTTTCCCTGCAGAAGGGAGGTTGGAGGGTCGGTCCACCCTCATTCATTGTTCTCTTGAGGTGGCACTATATGGTGAATTGTTGGTAGTGAAGGGTGAATTTGAAGTCACTATATTTTCTTTCAGAAAACCATAGGATAGGATATATATCTTAAGCCTGGCTGAAATAGACATGCCTCAGTGAAGCTGCTGAATTTGGCTAAAATCGATGCCCTAAATATTGTATTTTGAAAACTTATTGGAACTGCAGCAACCATCAGTAGTAACTCAAGTTACAGAATAAAATTTGCTGCTCATTGCCACCCAAAATTTTGGGTTAAAAAAGAAAAATATGGAAAAGCTAGATACATAATCAGTATGTAATAGTATGGTGATCTTCAGTACGCAAAAAAGGAAAAAGGAAAAATGATGATCTTGAAAGATTGATTGATGAGTATTGCTTGCTAGTTAAACGTTCGAGTCTTTGGAAGAGGCTGCATTTTCTTGGCATTGCTCAGGAAACAGTATTGAATATAAAATTCTTGAAAGAAAAGTACATCGTACTTTGTTTCTTTTATATAGTAGCCTTTTCAGGTTCTCAATGCCAGGATTGATTCCCCAATCCCCCTCCTCCCCTTCGAGGTGTGTGTCAGCTTTATGTAAAGAAATACTAAACCATGACAATGAGTTGATAAATTTGTTAACCTTAGCAGGGATGGCTCAGCAGGGTTGGCATCCTCTTCAGGTGCAGATGAGGTAGATATCTCTTTTATCTCTGTTTTTCCTTTTGGTTTGTTCATTCTCACAATGTTATTTGAGTTATGAAGAAGGTCTTTTTTTTTGATAATGATATGATTGCTTGCTTTTACTCTTGGTTGTTAGTTTTATGCACTGCTGGTGGTCTACGACGATGTTATTTTTTATAAGACACTAGTAAAACACATGCGACTTCTGAATTTATAAAGTTGTATCCGGCACCATTCTGATCAAGTATCAACAACGGAAAGTTTTTACTGCAAACTTCACGCATGGGGAAATAATGATAATCTGTTTAACTTCCTCATTTCCATGTTGAATTTCATATTTGTTGTTTGCCTTGCCAAAACCATAGGTAAACTTGGGCCTTGCAGATAGTGCATGCTGCTATTGTTGCGAATTAAGGATAACAGCTTGCTTCAACTCTTAGTTTAGATTTTGTAACTTAAGACATCTACCTAATGAGAAATGGGTAGAAATACTTGTGCATGGGGTTGGCATAAATTTGTTGGACCTATATGTAGGAGTTTTAATGTGAAGAAATTTATGTAGCATATGAATAAATCATCAGGGTATTAGTGAAATTTAGGTGTTCAGATAAGATTAAAGCAAACTCGATGTCTTAGAACTTCTAATACTGAAACCAAACGAATTCATTGAAACATGACAATCCAGCTCAAAAAAAAAAATCTTGTTCTGGTTGTCAGTTTTTAACATAGAAGAAGAAAGAAAATGAATATAAATATAGGGAAAAGTGTGTGTCCTTTAAAGGACACAAACTTATTTCTTTTTAAGAGAGAGATAGACACAAAAAGATGTGAGTCCCACTGAATGAAAAAAAAGAAGATGTGGGTCCACTTTTTTGTGTGTGTTTCTCTCTCAAAAGGACCTAAGTTTACGTCTTTTAAAAGGACATACAATTTCCCTATATAAACAAACAATTTTATATTTCTTAAACGTGTTGCCAGGGCAAAATTTAGCTGGAAGAACTAGAAGTGTAGGCATGAATCCTGTATCCTTAACACTTGACATGCCAAATAAGACCACCTCTTTTCATGGATTGGTTTTTAGTTTCTTTCTCCAATGTTTCAATCAGATTAAACAAGACTCTGAAGGAGCAGAGGGAAGTATCCAAGGTCCAGAAGATGGGCTGACATGTACCATATGCTTGGACCAAGTTAACAAGGGGGAACTTGTTCGTAGCTTGCCATGTTTACATCAGGTTCGTGCTCTGCACCTTTTGCTTTCTTCAACTTTTTTGTTTTTAAAAAATATAATTTAGCAGTAACCTATGGAGATTAGTGCTTGTCTCTCTCTATATAATATATCATCAATGTATGGGTGCTGGTTCCTTATTTTCCTAGTCATACTCCTCAAATCTGTTTACCCGATGAATAGTTAAGCTAAGTATATTAATATTATGAGCTCGCTAATTTCCATGTTTCTCTAATATTGGGGAATGATTATTCATATCTCCTGAACAACGCTTGATTACTTTATGGGTTCGTCGGTTCTCATGTCACTCCTGATGAGAAAAGTTGCAGCAAATTTTTAACACTAGGATACGTGGTCTGGTCGTATCCTCGCCTAAAAAAAAAAAACATCAGAATCCGCACGCGTATCCTGAGAAAAATAAGTGTTGCTGCACTTTTTTCCATCTGCAGTGACATGAGAGCTACATATCCCTTCTTTTATTGTCCCTTCCCCGCCAATATTTAGACTACCGTGTTTATGGTGTCAGACAAACAAACACGGTTGTATTCATGCCGCGTTTGAGAGACACATGTTAATCTACATGCCGTCTCTCTGTGAAATCATGTTGTTTGGTTTGTGATCTCTGAAACAATAGCTTGCACTATACCCAAAAAATGGTCTAACTTCTTGCTTTTCCAATATAAGTAATTTCAGACCTTATAAATAATTTGTGAAATGAAAATTTGAACTAAAGTATTTATAAAATAAAAGTAAAAAATACAATGTATTTGAAACAAAAAATAAAAAATAACAAAACAAATAAATGAATCAAGTATTTATAAAATAAATAAGGGGAAGAATATTGTAATAACCAAGTTGTGTTACTATCATGTTACTACTAATCAATCTCACCGTTAGATCGCTTATGTTGATCCATCGGTTATATTTATTTCCATCTTTCTATGATTATGATTCTCCATATTTAAAGTGAAAGCATTAAATATGAGAAATCATAAGCCTACAAAGGTAAAAATAAATATAAAATATTAAATTTGGGAAATCATGACCATACAAAGATGAAAATAAATATAACCGTTGGATCAACATAAGCGATCTAACGGTGAGATTAATTGGTAGTAACTTGATAATAACACAATTTGGTTGTTACAATATCCTTTCCCAATAAATAAAGTCAAAAGTAAGTGTTGATGTTTTATATTATAGTATGCTTTCCTTAATTTTTCATATGAAATTTCTAATTTCCAATTAATTTTAGTTAATGTGATTGTATAACCAAAACCAAGAGTCGTAGTAGTAGCTGTTGGCAGCTATATATTACCAAGCTTGCTTATTTGTTTTTATTGTCTCATTCTTTTATGCTTTCGTATTGTCATTGTAGCAAGCTGCAAGTAGAAGTCACTGTAAAGTTGTTTCATTTCACAACGGTGTTTAGAATTTCATTACTTATTTGCAGAAGTCAAAACTAATTCGAACTTTTACATGGAAGAGGCATGAATAGAACACTTACTTGCCCCAGTCACGAAATGATAGCCCAAACAGTGAGTCCAACGCGGCATGAATAGAACCGTTCATTTTTTAAAACCTTGTCACATGGTTTTCAAATCAAGTTTCCATTTCATGCAGTGTTGGGTTTATGATGTTTTTGTTTAGTCAAAGCATCCTTCACTTCCTGCTGCCACTTTACGTTTTCACCCATTAAAATATGTATTTTATAAGAGTTATGTTGTAGAAAAAATAATTGTGTTATGTTATAGAAATTCGTTTTGCGTGCAGTAGTTTTTTTTTTTCCCTTCAAAACATGTGGGTCCCACAAAATGTTGTGTGTATAAAAAACTTTTTGTGGTCATTTTAAATGATGAATGCAAACTCCTTAAAATATTACTTAAGGCTGCACATAAATGACAAATTTACTTTCCTTTGTTCTTTCTTGGTTGTTACTCAGTTTCATGCCAACTGCATCGATCCATGGCTCCGGCAACAAGGAACATGTCCTGTTTGTAAATTTAGGATGGGGTCGGGATGGCAGGGAAACGGGGAGAGCGAATCTGATGGTTCAGAAATTGTGTAGCATTCTTCATATATAGCTGTAAAATTCATTATGTCGCGACTTATATGCGTATATATACATATAAAAATAATATATGATGTGCTGGCGTTTGCCCAGAACTTGGCATAAGGGTAAGAATGTAATCTATTATTAGTGACTTCACATAATAAAGGTATTTGTACAAATTACATTATTTTCTTGCAGAAAGATAGTGTAACCTAATCTTCTCCTAAGAGAAAATAATATAGTTTGTAAGAGTTTGTAAATAAAAAAAGTTGATAAATATAACCTGTCCTATATAAGGAAAGGATCCGTTTACAATTTTTTTTTTACAAATCTTTACAAAGTACACTATATACTCTCGAGAGAATATAGTGTAACTTAATGTTCTCCCGGAAGAATATAGCGTGGTTTGTAAACAAAAAATTTGTACATATAACCCTTTGTATGTATATCATATGGGGAGTCCATAATAGAGAGAGATCTATTATCAAATGTGCTAAAATTATTAACCCTATAATAAATAAGTTCAAATATCAAATTTCAATCTAAAATTTTAAGAGTTTGTATTTATTATGTCCTTTCATTTATATAGTTCTTAATACAATTCCCAATATTTTAACCCAAATGAATCTGTGGAGCGGCAGATACTCACGACCTTGTACTTGTCTTTTTCGGTTTCCCCAATAACGATGGACACTATCCGTTAATCTTCGCAATTATCATTATCGACGTAAATATGTAAACTGTATTCTATTCGAAGTTGTCTAGTTGTAATATTATAGTAGTGGTTTAATTGAACAATATAATTTGACTACTAATTAAATTTCGATTGCATGGTTGCTGACACCAATAGCTGTGTAGTACAAATACTGCAATTACAAACCTGAAAAAGTCAAATTGCAGTACAAGTAGTGGATTGTACTAAATCGCCAATTGCAATTTAATCGACTAATTGACAACACGATCAAACATTAAAAGAGTAAATACCAATAGCTAGCTAGCATAGGAGAATAATATCCATGTCTTCCTCCAAAACGAAGACAATAAAGTCAACGTTCCTCGTTTTATGCCTCTTAGGTTCGGTCCTCTATCCAATCAAGGGTGATGATGGGGGGGATAGTAATGGTTCTGACAACGTAAATTTGCATTCAAAGGGTCTGATCCTCGTGAAAGTATGGTGTTTGATCATCTTGCTTGTGAGCACTTTCGCGGGTGGAGTTTCTCCTTACTTCTACCGTTGGAATGAGGCCTTTCTATTTTTGGGGACTCAGTTCGCTGCTGGTGTTTTCCTTGGAACGGCTTTGATGCATTTCTTGAGCGATTCTGCTGGAACATTTGGAGACCTCACCACTAAAACTTACCCTTTCTCCTTCATGCTTGCTTCATCTGGATACCTTCTCACCATGCTTGGTGACTGTATAGTGGTTTATGTCACCAGCAATAGCGAGAGGGATTCCAAAGTGGTGGAATTGGAAGGAGGGACAACACCCCAAGAGCAAGAGCTATCCATAGATCAGTTGGCTGTGGAGACGACCAACCCTGCTTTCATCAAGACTTCTTCTTTGGGTGACACCATTCTACTCATCTTCGCACTGTGTTTCCATTCAGTTTTTGAAGGCATTGCGATTGGAGTATCAGGTTTTCTCTTCTTTTCTTTACCACTATAACAAAATTTAGAAATTTATGCGTGAGTGATAGGTAATTAAGTCCTACCTTGGTTAAAATTGTATATCAATAGTTTTATATTATATCTCTAAGGAGCATAGAAGCAATGAAATCGCCAAGTTGAGTATAGAAACTCGAAACTTGGAAGCTGACAATTATCACGTTGACCAAATAATAGAAAAAGAGACGAGAAGAAATGCGCACAGACATTGTAATGTGAAAAAACCCTCAATGAGAGGAGTAAAAATTACGGGACCTAATCCAATAAAATCGTTCATTATTTCAAAGTAGGATTATAAGAGGTTTCTCTCTAATATATCACTAGAGGATTATACACAATTTCCTCGCTCTCTCTTTTAGGATGAAATACAATTTATCTCCACAAAAAAGGAATCCTCTCTTTTCTTAGGAAGAGGAATACTCTCACTAGAGATCTCTGTTTCTCTAAAATCGTAATCTCTCTCCCTATTTATAGATTATCAAGGTTCATTCTTCCATGCTCTACATTTTTTTTTTTTTTTGGGGGGGGGGGGGGGGAGGATTTTCTAAGCATGGAAACTTGCAATTCTTAGTGTTGGAAAGTGTAGTTGCCCAATCAATTAAGGGGAAAAACTCAATCATTTATTGAAAAACCAAATTCTAGCTATTCGCTTTATTATGATTATGATTATGATTATGACACTCGAAACCATAATGACTAAACTTGTTTACAACTAATAATATATAATTCAGGTACTAAGTCGGATGCATGGAGGAACTTATGGACAATATGCTTGCACAAGATATTTGCTGCTATTGCAATGGGAATTGCTTTGCTTAGGATGTTACCAAAGAGACCCTTTGTAACAACGGCAATATATTCATTGGCCTTTGCTATCTCTAGCCCTATTGGAGTGGGGATTGGCATTGCCATCGATGCCACAGCACAAGGACACACTGCAGATTGGATATATGCTATATCTATGGGAATAGCTTGTGGTGTTTTCATCTATGTTGCCATCAATCATTTGATAGCCAAAGGCTTCAAACCGCAGAGGAAGAGCAGTTTCGACACTCCTTGGTTTAAGTTTCTCGCTGTGCTTTTAGGTGTAGCTGTTATAGCAGTTGTCATGATCTGGGACTGATCATGATCATGGTCAGATTTTAATTCCTGTTTTTCTACCACTGTTTTTTAATTGTTATACAAAAATGTCTGTCAGAATAACGATGAATATTATCATATATATATTCGCCATAGTTGAAATGTCTTTTAATTAATTTCTTCAGGGTTATAACACTCATTTACTATTTGGACTGAAAGATTGTAATCTTTTCCTCCATTATTCTGTTGTTCCTTCTATGATGTGAAATGAATTGTGCATGTTCCATTTTCTTCGATTGCTCGACAAGTAATTAAGAAATAGGCGTACGAGAGAGGACCAGTTTTTTTTTTTATCTGATCTAAATCCCAAGTATATATTAATCAATTAGCTTTGGATAAATTAAGATGATGCTTTCTTCAAAAGGATAGCACAACTTTATCTCATTCATTCCCCACAGTTTCTTTCTAAACAAATTTGAATTTTTTGTTTCTTGAGATCATAACTCTGACAAAATTAGATTCTATATATGTTTAAAACAAAATTTATACAGTATTTTACATGATATATTACTTCTTATGAACTGATATTTGATTGAAAGATTGAAAAGTTGAAAAGTACATTCAATGAAGCCTCAAAGGCTTATATACAGAAAGCTAAGTAGCTAAGTAACTAAACAACTTAAAGCTAACTAAATCCTAGTCAGTTACAATTGATACAACTGACATATAACTTAATAACAAAAAAATTTACACCTATCAAATAAATGGTCACATGTTCTTCACTACATCTGCATCTGCACGATTAGTGAATGTTATTACCCCCCGCAAGCTGGACTATGAAGATCAACAAGGCCCAAGCGATTAATGAGAGTTGAAAATGAAGAAGGATGAAGAGCTTTGGTAAAGCTATCAGCCAACTGATTGAAGAAGAGATGGGAAGAAGGTGAAGTAGTCCAGCTTGGATTTTCTCACGTGTGATGTGACAATCTAGCTCAATATGTTTTGAGCGTTCATGAAAAGAGAGATTATGGGCTAAATAAATGGCAGATCAATTGTCATAGTATACAGATGCTGGTCGAGAAAATAGAATGCCAAAGTCTTGAAGTAAAAATCATAACCTTTGAATCTCACAAGTGAGAGGTGCAAGAGCACGATACTCAGCTTCTGAGGATGAACAAGATACTGTTGTCTGCTTCTTGGACTTCTATGAGAGCAATGAAGGACCAAGAAACGTACAGAATCCGGTGATGGAACGACGAGTATCAGGACAACAAGCCCAGTCTGAGTCTGCAAATCCAGCAAATCCTTTCTTTCTTCACCCCAATGAAAGTCCAGCGTTGGCGTTAATTAATCCAGTTCTTGATGGAAGAAACTATCACAGTTGGGAAAGAGCAATGACGATGGCACTCCTTTCAAAGAACAAGTTAGGCTTCATTTATGAAAGCATTCAACCTCCAGCTGCTGAGGATCCTTCTTTTAGTGCCTGGCGAAGATCTAACACCATTGTTCTTGCATGGATTCATCGTTCAATTAATGAATCCATTGCAAAATCGATACGAAGACTATGCTTGGACAGATTTTCGCAATCCAATATCTTTCGTGTTTCGGATCTGCAAGAAGAGATTTATAGAATGCAACAAGGAGAGAGAACAATTACCGATTTCTTTACTGATATGAAGACTATGTGGGATGAGTTAGATAACTTGAAACCACTTCCTACATGCAGTTGTGTTAATCGGTATGCATGTGGTGGATATCAACAGATGCAACAGTACAGAGAGAGAGATCATGTTACAAGATTCTTGAAGGGTCTGAATGATCAATATGCCACGTTTGATCACAAATCATGCTGTTGGATCCATTACCAAATATCAATCGAATCTTTTTCATGGTGGTTCAACAAGAAAGACAGATGCTTACAGAAGGACATTCTGATGCCATTGGTGAGCCCAAGGCATTTTCCAGCAATTCTGATAGAGGAAGAGGACGTGGAAATTATGGCCAAGGAGGAAGAGGTCGTGGATCTTATGGTCAAGGACGAGGAAATGGTAAGATCTGTACATTTTGCGGAAGGCAAAATCACACTATAGACACATACTATCGAAAGCATGGATTTCCTCCAGGTTTTAAGCCAAGAAATATGGTGAATCATGCTGCATTGAATTCTGGTATAAATGAATCTATGCCAGATCCAAGGGATGTTAAAGATTCAGGAGTTTCCATGTCTCATGAACAATGTGAAACTTTGCTAAATGCACTGTATTCATCAAAGATTAATCCAGATGCTGGAATGTCTTCTTCAAATCATGTTCAAACTTCTGCACTGAATGTAGATTCTCTTAACAGATCAGGTAATCAACCAATTCAGTGGCTCCTTGATACTGGAGCCACGGATCACATATGCTGTGTTCAATCAATTTTCACCAATCTCCACAAAATCTCCCCAATCTCTATTTCTTTACCTGATGGCTCTCAAAGTGTAGCCTTATTTTCAGGAATAGTATATCTCTATCCTCATCTAACTTTGACTAATGTTCTTTATGTTCCTAATTTTAGAGTCAATCTGATTCCTGTTACAAAGCTTACCAAAACTGTTCCATGTTATCTCATTTTCCATGACTCTTTTTGCTACATTAAACAGAACCATTTCAGAGCGATGATTGGTTTAGCTGAGGCAGTGGATGGACTATACATGATCAAGACCTCTCCTTGTAAGAAAATTCGGAAGAGCACCTTGATTCGCCATAATCAAGAACTCAAAATTTATAGCGGAAAGAATGGTGAGTACCAGAGCTTAGAGCTCTGATACCATCTTATGAACTGATATTTGATTGAAAGATTGAAAAGTAATTCTGTTCCATAGTTAAGCGTGCTTGACTTGGAGCAATTATGGGATGAGTGACCTCCTGGGAAGTTTTTCCAGGAAGTGTGCGAATGAGGAAAAAGCACACTGAAAAGTCTCGTGTTAGTATGTGGGGATAGTCATTGATTCTTGAAGCGGCTGGGCGTTACAAGTGGTATCAGAGCAGGGCCTCTCTTCCAGTACGGTGTGGTGGACATGTAACATCCCAAGCGCTGACGAGGGCAGGGAGTGATCCCCGGCGCGAAAGGGCATGGACAAGGAGCAGCTCTTGACAAGCTTCCAGCGGGGGGTTACATGCATGAATGAATCGAATCGACACCCGAAAGAGAGGGATTTCAAAGACTGTGCAGGTATGAGACTACATAGTTTGGGATAGCTTATAAGAATTAATTGGTACTACCTATACTAACAAGATGCATCTTCTTTTCGGTAGTCCGGAACAGAAGAACTCTATATTTAAGCGTGCTGACTTGGAGCAATTCTGGGATAGATGACCTCCTGGGAAGTTTTCTCAAGAAGTGTGCGAGTGAGGAAAAAGTACGATCTACATCTGCACACAATCTACATCTGCACGATTAGTGAATGTTATTATTACTCAATTATATATGTAGTATGCTTGATTTACATCCAACTAATCATTATTTAGTGATGGGAGCATCTAAGAACCTTCCCCTCTTGGGGCATCTGTGAATTCTCGTGATGAATAAACTTGAATAATTCTTTCCATCTAAAACACATGCAATAATAGTGGAAATTTTCATTTTCACCATAAAACATATTTTAGTGGTGTTTAATTATACACAATAGTACAGGGTATGCCATACAATGCTTTATTTTTATTTAAATTAATATCTTAACATAAACAATTTTTAAAAAGTTTTCGTATTTTATTAAATTTAAATAATTTGATAAATACAGTTTTCAAACTAAAACAATTTTTTCCCAAACTTTACAAGTAAAATTCAATCTTTTTTGTGTGTGTGACTATAATGCATTTTTTTTTTGTGCGAACGTATAATGCATATTTTTAATTTGAGAATTCTTATCAATATATAACGACGTAAAATTGGTAGCTAGTAATTAAATAATGGAAATTTTGGTTTATATATTAACAAAGCAAAGAAGATAAAGGATTTTTTTTTAGGGATTTAGTTTTCTCAAGTAACAGACTGCAATTGGATTTTCCTGCACAAACATATTTTTGCGAGTCCCACCATTTTTGTAAAAAAAAAATAATTAGAAAGAATAGGCTTGCAAATCGATGGCTCTGCAGGAATGGATTATCCTGTTATGCAACATAACAGTTATATTACCTTTTTTTTTAATAGAAGAAAGTTTAGGTGCTACTAGACAGTGGTATCTCACCAGAGTCACTCACACATGGCACCACCAATGGAGAAAAAAACATTTAATTAATGCTTATTGTATTTAGCTTTCCAATATAATACCTGGTTTTTAATGCTGCACTCAGCAAGCAATGCAAATCCTATATTTAGCTGGGAAGTAAGAATAAATGCAGAGACTAATGTCGTTGACTCATATTAATTAATTGAGATTTTTCATATCATGCTTCTGCTTCTATGCAGGCATTTCAATATAGAACCTACAAATTGAAAATGATAGGTACATCAAATAACTACTGAATTGAACGTGTATTATGTGGCGATGGGGACCGGGGATATTAAACGATTACCGAATATCGTTACTATTGCTAGTACCTGGAGAAAGAACCCTATGATCTTTTGTAGAATGTAGAATTGAAGAGACATTATTGCTACAAGGTATGTCCTTGGTTAAATAGTTCATAGATTGCTGTCGCTGCTTTAATTACTTTTGCTTTGTGATTAATCTTAGCGTTTAATTTGGGCCAGTGGTAGAAATGATTATACTAGACTTAACAAGACAACCTATAGCTATGTCTATATTTCCTATGCTTAATTAATTTCCTTGCATGAAGAAAAGGTTGGTCAAATGTCACGCTCCTTCTTTTTGGCTCTCATGTACTTAACGGTACTGTTTGGTCGAGAAGGGTGCAATCACCAACCAGCGAGTGCTTTTATGAAAACAAGAAGATTAATGTGACTTGAGCTATGTGGTTTTTCGAGGAATATATGCAACCTATAGCTAGTCCCAACGGTTGATTCGAAAATGCCTTTTTCTTACTACTATTTTGCCATTATATAGGGCTAATGCTTTGAAATATAAATTTAATAAAATGTCTCAGTATATCGATTATGATTTGCCCACAAACTTCGCCATTAAGATGTAAAGCTTGCAAAACATTCTGCCCATTGTTATTTATTTCTTATTGTTATTATTATTATTTAATAGAGGTTAGGGGTGTTTATATATAGTCATACTCATACAGAAAGTAAAGTAGAAACCTAAGCATAATTTAACCGGTTTTCCTGTGTTGAAGTTTAACGACCTAATAGAGGTATTTTTCTTTTGTGGGTGGGTGATAAAAACAACTGTCTTAATGCTGTTCATCGAAAAAAGGAAACTATTAATTTCATTGAATTTAATATGGTATAACCAGCGCTATATATATAGTTACCTGTGATTCTTTACTTTTCCATTAAATAATTGCTGTTTCTTGAGGGGGACCATTTAATCTTCTTAAATCAAATTCACATTTGAAAAAAAAAAAGTTTAGTTACTGAGTGCACATTGGAAATTTTTTTGTGAAATATGAGTAAGAATTGGGGCACGTAATTGAGACAAAACAGTTTATAATTACGTTAATGACACTCCAAACTAGAAGACGACAAATGGGAACCGAGTAGGTGAAATCATTCCTCTTTTACCATACTTCGTTACGAAACCTAAAAACCAAGATACCTAATCGACCAACACTATTTTGTAACTTCTATTTCTACAAATATATATATAAGCAAGTTGTTGTGAGCATTATGATGTACTATTGTTTGCACACAAAACCCATTGTTCTATCAAAATGATTACCAGTATTCTATCATCACCGGCATTCTTTGCGGTTTTCCTCTTTGCCACTAGCTTCCTTTGGACCTTTCCTGAAGTTGTGCTTGCTGCTACTTCAAAATATGGAAGCGTTACTAGGCACTACCACTTCGATGTATGTAGTAACATTACATTACGTCGTGTTTTTGTGTAATTAGTATGAAACTTACGCCACCACTTAACGTGTAATTAATGTTTTTTATTAGCCTAAAAAGTAAAAACCTAACAATTTGTGTTTCTGAGCATAAACAGAGAAAAAAGTGCTAATTGCTATATATCATTTTTTTTATTACTTATATATATACAGATAAGGCTGAAAAACGTTACCAGGCTGTGTCACACAAAGAGCATAGTTACTGTGAATGGGAAGTTCCCGGGGCCTCGTGTTGTTGCTAGAGAAGGAGACAGATTATTGGTTAAGGTGGTTAATCATGTTCCAAACAATATCAGCATCCACTGGTATATATGCATTTGATTTTCTTAACCAATTAATTAACCTCGTTGTTCATATTCTAGCTTGGATTGTCCATGCATGCATGCAATGGATTGAATGTTTGTCTATTGTAATTAATCACATCATATATATATATATATATATATATATATATATGTGAACTTGTAATTGAACATATATTTAATGTTGTATATATGACAACAAACTTTCAGGCATGGAGTGAGACAACTTCGTAGTGGATGGTCGGATGGACCATCTTACATAACTCAATGCCCCATACAAACAGGTCAGAGTTACGTGTACAACTTCACCATTGTTGGGCAAAGAGGAACTCTCTTCTGGCATGCACACATCTCGTGGTTAAGGGCTACTCTCTATGGACCCCTCATCATTCTCCCAAGGCGAAACGAATCTTACCCATTTGCCAAACCATACAAGCAAGTCCCCATCCTCTTTGGTACATACATACATGCATCAATGATAAATATTCTAACATTTTTTTTATTAACAAAATCATTTGATTTATTTTATTTTATTTTATAATTTTTGTTGAGTGTAGGAGAGTGGTGGAATGTGGATCCAGAGGCTGTGATTGCACAAGCTCTTCAGACAGGGGGTGGTCCAAATGTCTCTGATGCCTACACCATAAACGGACTTCCTGGCCCCTTCTACAATTGCTCTAGTAACGGTACACAACTTGTTCAAGCAAATTAAACACATACTATATATCATTTTTTTATTTTTTATGGTTCCAATTTAATAAATTGACTAGGGGGTGAAACAAAAGGATATATTACTTAATTTGTAATATCTAATTAAATTTTCAACTATGCATGATGGTACATAGACACATTCAAGTTAAAGGTGAAAGCAGGGAAGACATATCTTCTCCGTTTGATCAATGCTGCAGTGAACGATGAACTCTTTTTCAGCATAGCAAACCACACCATGACTATTGTTGAAGCCGATTCTTCTTATGTTAAACCTTTCAAGTCCAACATCATAGTCATTGGGCCAGGACAAACCACAAACGTACTTTTGAAGACAAAACCTTGGCACACAAATGCCACATTCTTCATGCTAGCAAGGCCTTATTTCACTGGAATGGGTACCTTTGATAATTCCACGTTGGCTGGTATTCTAGAGTACCATACCCCAAACAGTACCACTGTTTCAGATTCTTCAACCACTCTGAAACCAAAGCTTCCAGCCATCAACGATACCTCCTTTGTAGCCAAATTCAGTAGCAGATTTCGTAGTTTGAACAGTGCCAAGTACCCTGCTAATGTGCCTCAAAGTGTTGACAAGAGTTTCTTCTTCACGGTAAGCCTTGGGAGCAGCCCTTGCCCAAGAAACCAAACGTGTCAAGGGCCTAATAACAGAACAAAATTTGCTGCTACAATGAACAACATATCGTTTACTCTTCCATCAGTAGCAATTCTCCAACAACATTTCCTAGGGAAGGGAAACAATGGTGTTTATAGCACGGACTTCCCAGTGTTCCCTCTGAGACCATTTAACTATACAGGGACTCCACCAAATAACACCATGGTGAGCAATGGAACCAAGGTTGTTGTGATACCCTATCATAGCAGAGTGCAGCTTGTGTTGCAGGACACTAGCATTTTGGGAGCTGAGAGCCATCCATTACATCTTCATGGGTTCAATGTGTTCCTGGTTGGTCAAGGTTTTGGGAACTTTAATCCTAATACAGACCCTGCAAACTTTAACCTTGTTGACCCTGTTGAGAGGAACACTGTTGGTGTTCCTTCTGGTGGTTGGGTTGCAATACGTTTTCTAGCTGACAACCCAGGTGACTCACTTCTTTAACATTCCTAGTATATTGTTCATTTAATCATATACTTTAAGTGATTAATTGTTGTTACTTACTTTGATTACTTTACAGCTTAATTGGATGCTTTTTTTAATTCAATTATATGATGTTGCACTATCCAATTTAATAAGTGGTTACATATATATATATATATGTGTCTGAAATAGGTGTTTGGTTCATGCACTGCCACTTTGATGTGCACATGAGTTGGGGATTGAGAATGGCTTGGATTGTCAATGATGGGAAACTCCCTCATCAGAAGTTGCCTCCTCCACCGGCTGATCTACCTAAGTGTTGATTATTTTGGAGATTCTTGTATGACCTGACTCTGCTAATTTTCCCTCTTCAAAAAATGTCTCTTCTCTAACCCAACTACTTTTGTTCTGCGGCATTTTGCCTTCTATGTAAGAATGAAGAAAAACCAGGACTGGTGTTGGGAATATAATTAAATGCACTTTCTTTTCAAATTTTTATTCATAACTTTCCTTGTATTAAATGATATATATTTTTCTCAAAGAAAAATGTTACCTCCACACCACTTTTTTTTTTTCAGAATCTCTTATACCTTTTTGTTTTAAGAATTTTTTTTTTGTTAATGTATGTTTTCCCTGTCATTATTATATGTCAATGATGAACTATTTCAAAACTTAAGCTATTAAGTATGGTCATGAATAATTTGATGTATAATATGCTGTTCATATAAAAATGTATAACCTACATTGTAACTTAATTGATAACATAGACGGAATAGATTAGGAGAAAATCTGAATTCGATTCTTATCAAATACACATTTAAAGAGGGATGAAGAGTTTTAATTGTGACTAAGCTTGACTCAAGATTAGTCTCGGTTCAAATAGTTGAAGCTTATCAGATACAAAAAGCGACTTATCTCACAGAAGTAATTAAGGTCGACATAAAAAAAATTAAAAATATATAAGCTATTTTTATGTGGTGTTAACATATAAATTTTATAGAAAATAATGAGGCTGTTGGAGTACTGGCCTCTTCAGTCATCAGCAGCATGCACCTTAATCATGGGATTATTGTAACTAGCCTCTGAAATCCTCCCACGTCCCATGCTTATAAGTTAGTTTAAATTCAATTTGTATTACTTTGGCAAAATGAACTTCTAAGATTCAACTATGGTCATAAAAGCTGCCAAAAACTTAAGCTAGCTACTTGATAGAGGCATTTGTAGCGTTGTTTAAATTCGTTTATTTTATATTAAAAATAGCTTAAATTTAAAATTTCAATACAAAACTGAAAAAAAGCAATTTTCTTTTACAAAATAAATCAAAACCATACATACGTTTATATCTGTTTTTTTGGTAGATACTTAATAAATTATTGAACGATATCTAAATAAATTAATATAAATTACTTTTGAAATAAATATTTTATAATAATATAATATATTATTATATGTTTTTATATTGTTTTATGCATGGATCACACGAATTTTGAGCTACTTTCATAATTGTGGACTATGTACGAGGCAAGAAACTTGCCCACTCATAAGGCTCAGAAGCATGGACGAGGTAGTTGGCAAGTTGGCATGATTGTGAGTGAAGTTTGTGTGCTCCGGGAGAAAAAAAAAATTGGGTGGGATTAAGAAGAGAAAGAGAAAAAAGGTTGAAGAGAGAGAAAAGAGAAGATAAAAAAATAAAATTGATTCAGGTATCAATTTTTTAATGAAAGGACCATAGCGATTCTAGACTATATTAAAAAATTTCCATTATTGTAGGCACTGCCACAATTCTTATCCAATAGCCACCAACTCTCCACCAGCTTATATTTTATTAAGGGGTTTAGTATTTTTTATTTTGTTACAGATAAAATTATTTTTTATATATACATAAAAGTGTACGATATAATGACCCAAAATAGTAAATCTTAATTAGAGGTTTAATTTAAGGATTTAAATGCCATAATTAGATTCAGTGAGTGATTTCGAGTATTTTGACTGTAATCATGAGTATGTTATGAACAGTGCGTTCTGTCGGAGAATTCACAGTCTTGTGAATTAACTGGTAGAGCTTAAATAAGCAAAATAATTTTAGAGACATAATTTGACAATTCTGACGATAGATATGAGTCTAGAATGAAAAATTGTATAGTCTGACACTTTCCGTGAAAAGTGTTTCTACCGGATATTTTGTACTGCTGTTTAAGCAACCGGTAGAGTCCAGAAACAGATAATTGATGAAATAAGAATAAGAAAATCCAATATATGCCAAGCAAGTCAAAATAGACCAAAGAATGATAAGTTCATAAGTTTTAAGTTTCGGATGCAAACAGTTCACAATTAATGAACCACAGTGTATTTCGTCAAAAACAGTGCAGAAACGGTACTGTAAATTAAGAATATTGTTCCTTAGGAAATAAAAATTAATGTAAATGAGCTTAGAAAAATAAAAACATATCCGTAGCTTTAAGTTAAGTTACAGGTCATTTTAAGTGAAATACGCGATAGAAAAATAACCGGATAAAAAGGGCCACATGTGCTCACCTTTTTAAGTCACTTAAGCTTCATTTCCAAATAAAATTCTCTCTCCTCTCCTCACTCCAAACCCGAGCTGCACCAAGAGAAAGGGGGGGGGGGGGGGGTTAGGGTTTTTTTTTTTTTTTATTTTGTTGATTCTCTTTGAATCTTCCACCAAATCTAATGACCCACCACATGAAATCGATTAGGAACTACTCAATGAATCCATTGCACCTATCCATTTGAGCTATAGTTGAGTGTGTGAAGAGTTATTCCTCCTCTCATTTTCTAGTTACTATTCATTGGAAGAGAAAAAGTGAGTTTTTGAGGGAGCTTGGCTTGGAGGTTGCTCTCTAGGCTTTGTACAAGTGTTTAGAGGTAAGAAACCTCTATTTCCATGATATTATTCTGATGATATAAGTCATGAAATCTATGAGCATGTTGTGAGTGGGGAATAATTGATGTTAGAATGTGAAATTTATGATGGATTATTGTTGTTTAGGAAGTTATAGTGTTGAGTAAGCATCCACATGTGATATAAAAATTGAAAAGCCCTATTGCATTTTTCCTCCTAGGTTTCGGCCTTCATGGAGTGAGTAAAGGTTATTGTGGAAAAATTATATTATGTATTGTGAAGGTATAATGTGTTGGAAATGAGTGAAAATGGATGAGTTAGTAAGAATGCCTAAGTAAAAAGGACTTGGTGTCTAAACTCAAAATAGGAATCTAGTGGAAGCATTCCTAGGTGTTTGCAAGTTGTAAGGAAGTAAAGAAAATGTATTGTAAAAGAGAAGGATCTTTGGAAATTTCCCTTATAGGATTTGACCTATAGGGTATTTAGGGATATATTTTGTACATTTTATTTTAAATAAAATGTGTTGTAATAAATTGTAAAAAAAGTGATGAGTTTTGAAGAAAAATAGCATGAGTTATGTTGAAAATTCCTCAGGGAATGTTTGATTAAATTAAAGAACACCAACGGTTATAAAGATGTCTAGACTTGTGTATTGGCATAGGATTGGCAAAAATGTAAAGAAATGAAAATAAGCGATAAAATGTATGCTTTGGGAAAGGATCATGGCATAGTATCATTTTATTGATTCTATTGTAAATTCTTCTCTAGGTGTGCCTAGGGATTGAAAAGGAGTGGAATTCTATTGAAGCGATATAAATAATTTGTGCAACAAGTAAGGGTATCGGTAAAGCTTCAAGAGGTAAGCTCTATGTTTAAGGAGTCTTTTCCTATTTGAGTGCTCCACCATAGTTAGTGAACTGTAGTTGGATTGTATGACTGTTTTGATGCTTTGTATAGATGCATTCATATAAAGCTATTTGATAACATGATATGTTTTGTTCTGATATGACTTTTGTAAGATGATTTCTGTAATAATCTCTGGCCATTGATTGTATAGTACCCTGATGTCCGCTTTGGGGTCCTCCCTCGGGAACACGTGCGTTGATTTCCGCTTGGGGTCCTCCCTTGGGAATGACGGCGCACATCTCTGATATGATATGGATATATGCTCTGTTCTGTTATGATATCTGTTATATGTTGTATTCGTATACTCTGTATCTGACTTTCATGCAGGAGTGAGCCTGGGGTATGGAGAATTCTCTATAAACCTGGAGCTTATTGAGATTTGTAATCTCACCCCTCGTTGGGGCCATATTTTCAGGTGCCCAGATTCCCGGTGAGACCTCTCTAGGTAGGGACACGACCAGTGGCTGAGGATTTGGACGGATTGGATTTTGAGTAGCTGTAGGCTACTTCTATTTTGGAGTGCATTTATGATTTCGTATTTTCTTAATTGATAGATCATGATGTTAGATCCTTTATTTTGTATATGGCCTGTATATGTTTTGTACATGCCTGTCAGTTTGATGCATGTACATTTGAGTATTCAGGCACGTTATATGATGATGTAGTATTCAGATATGTTTACGTTTTGGATTGCATGCTGTTAGATATAGTGGCACGGAGCCAAGTTATGCATTCGCCCATGGATGAGTATCTGATTATATTCGCATGACTGGTACTTCTGGATTGATGTGTTGTATAAACTGTTTATCAGGAAATGTTTCTGAGTGAGATTGAAAAATCCCCAGTTGTCCGAATTATAGAGGAAACTCTGTTCGACTTTCGTTTACGTCGAATGAGAATTTAAAAAGAAAAAGAAAAAGTTAGCTTGTATTTTCATAAGTTAAGTCTTCCGCTGTTTCTGTTTATATCATATGCATGTTAATTGAACCGGCTCGAGGCAGGGATGTTACATACGAGACTCATATAATCATGAGGTCATGTAAGAAAAATAGAGAGAGAAAAATATACTCCACACACTTTTATGTATATGTAAAAAATAATTTTATTTTCTATGATAAACATTAAACTTTTTTAGTAAGTGTTTCTCCATTTAACCTTTTTCTTTACTCAACCCTGCCATATGCATTTTAAATTTGTTTGTAAATATGTAAAGAGTCGTATTATAAATTTACAAATATGTTATCTTTTCTCATTTAGCGCCTGTAAATGTGTATTTTGTTAAGGTAACAAAATAAGTAATAAGAAATAATATTTAAAAATAATTATAAATATATATATAAAAAAGAAACTAGCTCAAAATGAAAACACTAATCCAAAAACTTACTAGGAAAGAAAGACTTCATAAAGAACAATATTCGGTGTTGAATTTATGCTATGAGGTCGAGTATACCTCATTAATTTCCTCCCCCCCACCTCCTTCGCAGATATAGATTTACAACTACTTAATTGTGATTTTTCACATTAAGATGATTAGCTGGTTTCGCCTTGAAATTGACTCCTTCCATTTTAGTTGAATCTTCCATTTGATATTATAAGGTCTAATATGGATGAAATATTAATTGAGAAAAGTGGGGACAGATTTGATAAAGAAAGATTCCACCTTTACAATAATACTGCCGTCAAAGTCACATATGGACCGCACCTAATTACCTTCTCCACCTCAAAGGATATCTAACTTCAAACTGCAAAATTTTCCTTTCCGAGAGTGTCATATTCTTTTCAAAAAAAAAAGGTGTGGTAAGTTACATAATTTTGAGTGAACAAACCGGGTTTTGTTTCTTGTAGGTGAAAAGAAGAAAGAATGTAGCTAAAAATGCAGATCCAAATACTATCATTTTTATAATACGCTTTATCAAAAGTATACCCTTTCCTTCAAAACACACCCAAATAGAGAGAGAGAGAGAGAGATTTAACGCATGAAAGCTTTTTGAGGATCTTGTACCAAAAGTGAAACAAAGTTTTAGCAGTTCTTAATGTTGAATAGTTATCCCAAACAATATATGTGAGAAACAATAATCAAACGCATAAAAGTGCTCTGCCTGCAGGGGGAAGATTAATCTTATATATTTCTAACAATGTGTAAATCTTATAACTCATCTTAGTTAACTCGTAATTACAATAGAATCTATAATATTGAAGGGTAAAAAAGAAAAAGAAAGATCCTCATAGATCAGAAATCAAAAATTTGTCCAAGTTGCAACTAAACCCATAAAATCTGATCTGTGCAATAGACTTTGTTCTGCTGTGAGCTTAATTCTTTCAAGAATCCCCATGCTTGTGCCAGCAAACTAACATAGCCACACACCTTCTCATGATGTAAAATCTTGCTTTCTGTTCCTTAGCTAAATTGGTGCATTTCCTACCGATAGATGGGTTCTTCTGTGAATAGCTCCTAGTAAGATTGCATTTGGAGGAAGATGAACTCTTTTGTGATAAGCTCCTCAAGAGGGGAGAGTTTGAAGTAGAGCTTCTTGTTGAGCAACTCCTTGAGAATAATGACTTGGTGTAGGAGCTTGAACCACCTGTGTCCTTCTTTGATGATACCTTCCTCTTTTCATCCATCACAACAAACAGAGGAACTCTAATATCCTCCACAACTAGCTTCCTCACTGTGTGCCTTATCGTTTGTGTGTGTGTGTGTGTGTGTGTGTGAGGCGAGGAAAGGAGATTGTGATAAGAGAGATGAAAGTTAGTGGGACTATTTAGGTATATGTTAAGGGTTCAAAAAGATCATCAATGCTTGCTAGTATATTCTGGTCAGCACTTTGTTTATATAGCCATATATACATGTCCACTTATTAGTGCTTATATATTTATATATAAAAAAATGATCTGTTCAATAATAAACACTATGAGAACATTTTAATCAACTATCTTTGTTTTCTTTATTTAATTATTTACACTTTCTTCCGCATTTTTCACTGTGGTGGAGCTGATACGTTAAACCTTGTCCATTGAATTGCCTCGGATATGCTATGATTCTTTTTGGAGACACACCATCTTGTACGGTTCCAAAATGGGCATTCACATATTAAAATCGTCCCCTGTAGACAATTGTTAGCTGCTTCTCGTGGAGGGTTGTGCGCCTTGTACCTCTTACTACACCACACCAGTTTGTTCACAATTTTTTATTTTTTTTTATTTCTTTTGATATTTTCTACTGTTTTTGTTTTGCTGTGTTCAAAGAAATAGTTTATCTCTGGAGCCTTCCAAATCTGTCGTCACATTATACTTAGTGAGAGTGTGATGTTTATTTGATTTCACATCACAACACTATATAGTGCCCAATTTGCAGTTATAAGATGCTCTTCCTTCAGCGGAAAAAAAATGTGCACATGGATGACAGTACTCTGCATCCTTGGTAGTCAAAAAAATTTGTTTAAATTAGAAATCTTTATGATTATATTAAGATACAAGTGTTCATGATTCACATCTTATTCGTATGAACGTGACTGTTGTTTTGTCAATTGTCACTGAGGAAATTGATTTTGAATTTTGCTCTATCTTTAAGGGTTAAAAAATCTAAATGATACGATACAAAGAAGACAATATATTCCTTTAATAATTTTCCTTCCCACTTTTTTCAAAATTTTGTAACAGCATTTGTGACAAAGGAAGGTAATAAATAATTGGCAAGTGGATGATATAGGGTCAATCTTATGATCACCGCAATAACATAGCACTTTTTCTTCTGCCTCTTGTCCATGGATTCGGTGCTAAAGCATCTTTTTCTCCCTTTCACTGATCAATATACATAAATATAGGTTCCTATTTTATCTACTACTTATATTTAAAGAAAATACACTGCATACAAAACCTATACAAGTCGATATTATTGTTAATATTGTGACCATAAATAACACCCTTATTATTGTGCTCGATAAATTAATTATTATGTGCTTGAATTCACGGGCACATGGCATTGCAACTACGTAGCTAGAGCAGTGGTTAGAATAGTGAAGCAATATATATTCAGATTTCAAAATTTTCAATGTGGACGTTTTGTCTGAATTTAATATTTTCAACAGGAGGGTCCCGCTGAACTTACCATGTGAGGGAATTGATTTGTGTTATTTATTCTTTTTTGCGTTAATACTTTAATGGGATTTGCCGCTCTTAGTACTGCAGTTACACAGTGAAGTTATAATAATATATCATACGTGTTAAATAAGCAAGAAAGAAGAAATTGGAAGATAAAATTTCAAAAGGAAGGGATATGATATGCCCATCGAGAAGGAATCTAATGATTTCGAAACAAACTTTTGTTTTGAAGATTATTTGACTGGTCAAAAAAACTTTGCAATCACATGCATTCTAAGCATCATTATCATTGGTAAACAAAATTAGTGTAAAAAGTACATACAGCACATTTTTATTTTTATTTTTTTTGGTTGATTGGGCATACGCAGGACTATTTGAGTCAATGTGAAACAAGTATTTTCCTTCTTTTTGAGGGCTTGACTGGCATGCACGCCAGTAAAATTCGAGCCTGTGATGCTTTCTGAGGACCCTGTCCCTTTTAGTACAGCACAAATTCAGCGATTTTGTAAAATTTTGAGGTACCCAGAAATGCAGCCAATTTATTAAAGGGTAATATTACTCTCATGTAACATGAGAGTAATTCTCTCATGTTACAGAGAGAATCCAAATAGGGCCCGTTATTTAAAAAAAAAAAAAAGAGCACAATTTTTTGAAGTGAGAGAAAAGAAAATAACTACCCCATGCAAAATGAGAATAGTATTTCTCTTTGTTAAAAACTAAGATGTGCAATCAACTTAAAAAGGAGTAAGAATTGGGGTTGGTCAAATGATGACGTGGATGGTCAAAAATCATGTCAAGTGGTGTACTGCGGCTGGTGTAAAATACACCTCTCCCCATTTATTTTAAGAAAAGAAAACAAACAAGTATTTTGTTCTTCCAATTATATTAGAGTTTTTACTTTAATTTTAAAAATAATTTATCATCAATTTAGTTCATTAGTTATATAACGTGCTTAATTAAATTCCTCTTTTTTTTAATAAAAGAAATGAGTGTAACCAAACCTTAATTTAGGAATTAATTTGATGACGGAACCTATAAATAAAATAATGAATTGATCAGCATGAAAAGGCACAAATCCAAAACTAGATTAAATATGGGCTCATTAGAACTTCAAATACCGGTTGATGTTTAATAAAAAAATTCTAAATTAATGAGTGATGATATTAATATTAAAAAAATTTAAAGATTAAAATAATGACAACCTAATATTTTTATTAATAAAATAAAAATTTAATAGAACTAAGTTTCTCTATCTCTATATCATTAAATCAAAGGAAAAAGTGTTTTTTCTAGATAATTTTTTTTACAACCTTAAAATGACGTGATGTTGGACTTTTGGGGAAAAAACATTCAAACTGTTTTGAGAACTTTATTTTTCTTTTTTGCAACATAAATTTTTCAAATCATCATGTATTTTTTTTTTTCCCCTAAACCCCTGGTTGCTCAAAATAACTTCATATAATTAATAGGAGATACAATTATAATAAACCATCAATTAAATACGTAATATCATAGTTTGAAGATTCAAAATCCAGTTAAAATGGGAAACGACAACCACACAGCTTGAGGATACACTTTGAATTAATGGGCCTTTAGGAGCATGGAATTCCCAATTTTTAATTCCAAAATATTCCATATATTGATTGAGATGTTTTGGGTATTGAAATGGTTTTGCTGGCCATGTCGGCCGGGGAGTCCCACATGCAGACATGTGAGCTGCACAAGGGATGGTCAGGTGGGGAAAGATGGAGCAATATTACCTCTAAATAGATATAACCTTTATTCTCTCACAACACTGCGTACTCTTTGTAAATGTGACACCAAAATCATCACAGGGCGTTATACTATTTTTTTATCCTTTCTTTCTTAATTTCTTGTTTTTTTTCTGTTTATTTGTGGCCGAGATGACCAATACTAAAATTAATTTAAGATATCATATTATACATTGTTGAGGTTCATCGTAACTTACCACTTAGCAGGCATTAGTCAATAATATATATATATATATATATATATATCTGGGACAGATTTGATTCTGCATGTTGTAGAAACGTTGTTTGAAATTAGGAGATGTTCTTTGACCACACACCAACGGCAATATCAATATGGCAATTGGCAAACCTCTAAAATGCAAAAAAATATAGAATACGGAAACGGGAAGTTTTTGTTGGAAATCGACAATCACACAAAATCGAAAAAACAGAAAAGAGAAAAGAGATTGACACGATAATTTATCCTGATTCATCCATTATAGGTGACGTCCAGCTTGTCTGTACTATATTCACCGGATTAAAAAAACCCTAACATCAGCTATTCATGGGCCCAAACTCAAACTACTAAGAAAAGAGAAGGACCCAGTTGCTTTTTTGCTGACTCCGACAACAAGCGCCCCCATCAGTATGCGAAGTATGAGCCATGCCTAACAGTTTTGAGAGATTAATAAAAAATTAAAGCTGTTAAATAATTTTTTATTTATTTATTTATTTAAAAGAATAAAAATAATAAGGATAAAACTCTAAGATCATTTGGTCATAAAAACTCTAATAGCTTGAATTAATTATCTAAAAAATTTAATCTCTTAATTGAAAATACTTAAATAATTTTATACCTCCTTAATACCTCTAACAACGTCGTGTTCTTAATGTGTTTATCATAGATACTGAGACCATGCTTGGCACATTATTTTTAAGCTAAAATTAAAAAAATAAAGATAAAAGTTGTTTGATAATAATATAAAGCTGTTCCGGAGATTTTGAAGGAAAGAAGATGAAATAATTTGTTATAGGATGAATTATTAAGATAAAGAATAAAATTAATAAATATAAATTTAAAATAAGAGTAAAACTGAAAATTAAATATGAGAATTCTACAAAACTAGTATATATATTAATAAAAGCTCTTCTCCGGAGCCTTTAGCTTTTTCTTTATTCATTATAACAAAAAAAAAAAAAAAAAAAAAATTCTATAGTAAGAATTTTTGTAAAATCGGTTAAATTTCTATTTATGATAAGAAGAGAGTATAAAAATAATACTTTTCAAATAGACATCGTGTTGAGTCACAAAAGAAGCAATTGATGATAGCCGTGTCCATCGGCCTCTCTCTCGCATGTGGTTTGTTGGAGGTCTTTCAACACCATTACCATAGCCACCTCCTTCAATTCCTATATATCCTCTCGCCCCGAATTGCGTTGCATTTTTCTCCTCCCATTAATTAATTATTATTTAGATTAGAAGATATATAAAGTTTATTGCTACCAAAAGGAAAAAAACAATAAGAGAAAAGAATATCAATACAAATTTCGTAACCTCATTGTGATTTCCCTCTCCTTGCATCGCAACAACATGCACATTTACACGTGCATGATGTATTTCCTAAAAAGGAATAGGTTCACATTGCTACTGTCTTGGCTAAGATAACTATCTACTTTTGTTAGTTAATTAGGGTTTAAACTTTCTCACCACCACGTACGATAGACCTACTGTCTGTGTTCCTGAAATAATTAGAAATAATGAAAATGTAT